GGGGGTGGAACAGGGAAGGAAGGACTTTACGAATAACTCCAACTCCTAAACATCCAGCAAACAAACACTGTACACAAGGAGCTGTTGTTTACACTGACACTCACGCAAACAATCTGACTTCAGGAAAACGTCAGGCCACTTTTACCTCGACAAGCGACGATGCAAAACAGTCACTTTTGATACACTACAAGGAATACTAATGTTGCAGACAGGGAGGACCCGTCAACTTGTGCAACTGCAGCGGGTCTTGTGTCTCTGGGTGAGGGAGGGGGGAGGAAGAAGGAGGGAATAAATAAGAGAAGGAAGGAGGAAGGCAGTGGAAGAATAAGGGCCTGGGGGTAGTGGAAGGAGGGAGGAAGGAAATTAAGGAAAGGGGGAGGGAAGTGGAGGATTAGGGCCCGGGATGAGGGAAAAAAGGAATGAGAAAAGGAGGAAAGGAGAGAAGGAGGGGGGAAGAGAGGAAGAGAACAGAAGATTAGGCCCCGGGGTAAAGGAAGGAAGAAGGGAAGGAAGGAATGAGGTGAAGACTAGGACCCAGGATAAGGAAAGTGAGGAAGGTAGATCAAGACCAGGCCCCAAGGTAAGGGAAGGAAGGGAGGAATGGAAGGAGGGAGAGAGAGGAGGGTCGCCAGGTATGATAATGGAGGTGTGACACTAGCTGGTAGGAATGTGGCAGCGACGGTGCCTGCCCCCCACACGGATGTGACCTTGTAGGACTCCAGTTGTTGCATTCATACTCACCCTGAAGACCTCGTGTGTGGGGTCCCTGGCTGTGTGTGACCACGTGTGTCTTGTTCAGTCAACGTTAATAGACTGGTGGTGATGTCTGAATACAGTATATACAGTAACTCTGTAACCATGTCTGAATACAGTATATAACTCTGTAACCATGTCTTTTCCTAGGTAATAAGCTTTCTAACCACGTCTTAGTACAGTACCTAGGATAAAAACCACGGCTATCATTACCCAAAATAACTTAAAGATATATATCGATAGATTAATATGGCTATATATTTCTCTCTTACAGGATATATGTAAAAAAAAGTCTAATCCGTAGATGCATTATAAGTCATCTCTGTCTTCCACGATATATAAATCACTAAAAATAATATATCGCTTATACGCTATAGCGATTAATATTCAAGAGATCTATATATCACATTTGCTTAAGTAAGATGAATTTTATTTTTTGAGGTTCATGTGATAGCTTCTGATTTATCACTACTAATACATGGCGATCAACAAGTCCCTGTGCACCCGTAATTATTAATGATATAGTTATACCTTGTTATACCTACATTGTTATACACTTTGTTCTATTTACAGTTAATATTGGGCGTAGTATTGACTTCCACCATTTACTGTGAATGACCATCTCCGATACTCTATTGTAAGTAGAAAAAAGTAAATTGCAATTCAGGTATAACAGGAGAATCAAATTAGGTATTGCAGGTGCACAGGGACTTTTCGATCACACTGTATAATGTACAAGTCGGGCATTAGTATTCAATTATCTTATTATTTTTGTTATCTTTGTAATAAGAGTCTCGCTGGTGTGCAATAGATCAACATACTGTAGTCCTAACCTAACCAAACCTAACCTAACCTAACCAAACCTAACCTAACCTAACCTAACCAAACCTAACCTAACCTAACTTAACCTAACCTAACCAAACCTAACCTAACCTAACCTAACCCCACCAGTTAGCGTTAGAGTATATAAATATCAGATGAAATAAGCTAGAGGCCACAGAATCTCTATCTACGGATGTTGTTGTTATACTTGACTTAATTTGATCAGCTTCGTCCATCGTTATATCTTCACTTAAGAAAACACTCATGGTAGGAGCCCTTGAGAATGTGTTGTGTCTCACCTCTGCTGGACGGTGGCCTCAGTGAGAGGTTCCTTTAGGGTGAACTGGATCAATAGTTTACAAAATACTTAAAGAATTATGACCATGATGTTGTTTTTCTTATAATGTGCGTCATTACTTATAATTTATTGTGATGATATATGGAGTTAAATTATTGTTGAAATTATTTGGTAATTTTTATATTTCATGGGATTATAAATAATTGTGAGTCGGAGAGTTTATCATCGGTGTGTGCGTGCGTGCGTGTGTGTGTGTGTGTGTGTGTGTGTGTGTGTGTGTGTGTGTGTGTGTGTGTGTGTGTGTGTGTGTGTGTGTGTGTGTGTGTGTGTGTGTGTGTGTGTGTGTGTGTGTGTGTGTGTGTGTGTGTGTGTGTGTGTGTGTGTGTGTGTGTGTGTGTGTGTGTGTGTGTGTGTGTGTGTGTGTGTGTGTGTGTGTGTGTGTGTGTGTGTGTGTGTGTGTGTGCGTGCGTGTGTGCGTGTGTGTGTGTGTGTGTGTGTGTGTGTGTGTGTGTGTGTGTGTAAAAAAAGGTTAATAATTGATCTATTGTATTTCTATCATAAACATCTAATCACCAGAGATGTAGTTAGTAACTACCTTGTACTGTCTACTACAACTAATCTCTTTATAGTTACATCATCATAATAAACCAACAGACACACATACATAATATTACACAGTATATCATGAGTGACATAATAACATCCCCCACCACAAGTTGTTTGTATTAATAAGTTTAATTGTTGTTTACACTAAATAAATATTTGTTTAGATAACGTGATAATGGTTTCTTATATGACTCTCATATATCGTTCATTAATGCCAACAGGCTGGAGGCATCATTAGGGTGAACACGTCGATTAATTGTCCTCCTCACTGGTCTTCTTTCATGCAAATGTTCCCTTTAAAAACTTGTATTGAAGGAATGTTACCAATTAAGTCCTTGATTAAATACCTTGACTGACCGAATTCGGGTGACATCCATTAACGTGTTTGATATTAATGAACAACAAACACATCGTTACCTGCCAATAAATTTCTTCTCTTATAATAAATAACAACGTAAAGTGTTTCAACAAATTTTATTCATTCTCACCGTCACTACCAATATGTGCAATAAAGTATGTTCGGTAACTGGGATCAACACTAAGTGGTTGTCTTTGGTGGTATGAACTCAATGAATGAGCCAGTCATTACGTCGTTCTTACGCCATTAGGGTTCGGCAAGTCATCAGAGATAATTACAACGATTCACAAGTGCTTAAGTCTTCCAGTCTGATAATAATTATAAATATTTGATGTTTGTTTAATGTGTGAAGAGAGAATGTCTTATGGTGCTTCCAGGAGAATGTCTTGTGGTGCTTCCAGGAGAATGTCTTGTGGTGCTTCCAGGAGAATGTCTTGTGGTGCTTCCAGGAGAATGTCTTGTGGTGCTTCCAGGAGAATGTCTTGTGGTGCTTCCAGGAGAATGTCTTGTGGTGCTTCCAGGAGAATGTCTTGTGGTGCTTCCAGGAGAATGTTTTGTGTTGCTTCCAGGAGAATGTTTTGTGTTGCTTCCAGGAGAATGTCTTAGAAGCCCAGGAGAATGTCTTTTATGGTGCTTTCCAGGAGAATGTCTGTGGTGCTTCCAGGAGAATGTCTTAGGAAGTTTCCAGGAGAATGTCTTGTGGTGCTTTCCAGAGAATGTCTATGGTGCTTTCCAGGAGAATGTCTTTGTGGTGCTTCCAGGAGAATGTCTTGTGGTGTGCTTCCAGGAGAACAAGGTGTCTTGTGGTGCTTCCAGGAGAATGTCTTGTGGTGCTTCCAGGAGAATGTCTGTGGTGCTTCCCAGGAGAATGTCTTAGGTGCTTCCAGGAGAATGTCTGGTGGTGCTTCCAGGAGAATGTCTTGTGGTGCTTCCAGGAGAATGTCTTGTGGTGCTTCCAGGAGAATGTCTTGTGGTGCTTCCAGGAGAATGTCTTATGGTGCTTCCAGGAGAATGTCTTGTGGTGCTTCCAGGAGAATGTCTTGTGGTGCTTCCAGGAGAATGTCTTATGGTGCTTCCAGGAGAATGTCTTGTGGTGCTTCCAGGAGAATGTCTTGTGGTGCTTCCAGGAGAATGTCTTGTGGTGCTTCCAGGAGAATGTCTTGTGGTGCTTCCAGGAGAATGTCTTGTGGTGCTTTCCAGGAGAATGACACAGGAAGTTTCCAGAGAATGTCTGTGGTGCTTCCAGGAGAATGTTCAGGGTGCTTCCAGGAGAATGTCTTGTGGTGCTTCCAGAAGGTCGTCTTGTGGTGCTTCTAGGAGAATGGTCTGGTGGTGCTTCCAGGGAGAATGTTTTCAGGGGTTAAGCTTCCAGGAGAATGTCTTGTGGTGCTTCCCAGGAGAATGTTTTGTGTTAATTCCAGGAGAATGTCTTGTGGTGCTTCCAGCAGGAGAATGTTTCAGGTTAAGCTTCCCAGGAGAATGCTGTCTTTGTGGTGCCTCCAGGAGAATGTTTTGTGTTAAGCTTCCAGGAGAAATGTCTTTTGTGGTGCTTTCCCAGGAGAATGTCTGTGGTGCTTCCAGAATGTCTGTGGTGCTTCTAGAGAATGTCTTGTGGTGCTTCCAGGAGAATGTCTTGTGGTGCTTCCAGGAGAATGTCTTGTGTGTTGCTTCCAGGAGAATGTCTTGTGGTGCTTCCAGGAGAATGTCTTGTGTGTTGCTTCCAGGAGAATGTCTTGTGTGTTGCTTCCAGGAGAATGTCTTGTGGTGCTTCCAGGAGAATGTCTTGTGGTGCTTCCAGGAGAATGTCTTGTGTGTTGCTTCAGGAGAATGTCTTGTGGTGCTTCCAGGAGAATGTCTTGTGTGTTGCTTCCAGGAGAATGTCTTGTGTGTTGCTTCCAGGAGAATGTCTTGTGGTGCTTCCAGGAGAATGTCTTGTGTTGCTTCCAGGAGAGTGTCTTGTGTGTTGCTTCCAGGAGAATGTCTTGTAGATGCCGACATAAGAAAAAGTTTACTGAGTGTTGTGTTAAAATAATCCTTTTAATGTTTACGAAGTTACAATAAATTTTTTTTTATACCCCACACTACTGGTGAGCCGTGTGTAGCGTCTGTCCTGTTCCTTCTGTCCATCAGTCTGTCTTGTCCTACGTCTGTCCATCCGTCAGTCTATATTTCCTTTTGTTCCGTCTCTCTTTTCTTTTGGCCGTCGTTTGTTTTCGTTTTGCCCTCTCGTCTGTCTTCACTCGTGTCCGTACTTGTTTTTCCTTGTGTCCTTCCATGTGTCCGTCCTTGTTTTTCCTTGCGTTCTTCCATGTGTCCGTCCGTCCGTCCTTGTTTTTCCTTGCGTTCTTCCATGTGTCCGTCCGTCCGTCCTTGTTTTTCCTTGTGTCCTTCCATGTGTCCGTCCTTGTTTTTCCTTGCGTTCTTCCATGTGTCCGCCGTCCGTCCTGTCCTTGTTTTTCCTTGTGTCCTTCCATGTGTCCGTCCTTGTTTTTCCTTTGCGTCCTTCCACGTGTCCGTCCGTCCGTACTTGTTTTTCCTTGTGTCCTCCATGTGTCCGTCCTTGTTTTTCCTTGCGTCCTTCCATGTCCATCCGTCCGTCCTTGTTTTTCCTTGTGTCCTTCCATGTGTCCGTCCTTGTTTTTCCTTTGCGTTCTTCCATGTGTCCGTCCGTCCGTCCTGTTTTTTCCTTGTGTCCTTCCATGTCCGTCCTTGTTTCTTTCCTTTGCGTCTTCCAAGTGTCCGTCCGTCCGTCCTTGTTTTTCCCTTGTGTCCTTCCATGTATCCGTCCTTGTTTTTCCTTGCGTCCCCATGTGTCCGTCCGTCCGTCCTTGTTTTCCTTGCGTCCTTCCATGTCCGTCCGTCCGTCCTTGCTTTTCCTTGTGTCCTTCCATGTGTCCGTCCTTGTTTTTCCTTGCGTCCTTCCATGTGTCCGTCCGTCCGTCCTTGTTTTTCCTTGCGTCCTTCCATGTGTCCGTCCGTCCGTCCTTGTTTTTCCTTGTGTCCTTCCATGTGTCCGTCCGTCCGTCCTTGCTTCTTCCTTGCGTCCTTCCATGTGTCCGTCCGTCCGTCCTTGTTTTTCCTGTGTCCTTCCCCATGTCCGTCCGTCCGTCCTTGTTTTTCCTTGCGTCCTTCCATGTGTCCGTCCGTCCGTCCTTGTTTTTCCTTGCGTCCTTCCATGTGTCCGTCCGTCCGTCCTTGTTTTTCCTTGCGTTCTTCCATGTGTCCGTCCGTCCGTCCTTGTTTTTCCTTGCGTCCTTCCATGTGTCCGTCCGTCCGTCCTTGTTTTTCCTTGCGTTCTTCCATGTGTCCGTCCGTCCGTCCGTCTATCCGTCCCCTTGACAGTACGCGTGTATAGTGTTACGAGTTAACTGGATCAACATATATAATTTGAGGCTTCACTGAGGATAAATTAGTATACAAATGACTTGTATCTTAACTCCTGTGTCAGTGTTAATGTGTTAAATATACACTTACTATTTATCTTGATTTGTGGATGTGATTTTGTCAGCATTTGTGTTTGTATGTATAAAATAGCCTTAATTTGCTTATTGTCTTTGTTTTAATTACCGTTTTTATACTTATTTCATTGTTTTTTTTATGTCTTTATATTTTAAGTCTTTACTCATTATTTATTTACGCTTCTGTTTTTTTTTTATTCATTTTTCAATATAATTTATTCTTATCGTGGTATCTGTTAACATCAGCCTCACGTTCTTGTAAGGGATTTTTTCTCGGATTCATGAAAACAGGTCGAGAAGACGGATCGCTGAGGACCATCACACAGTATTACCACCCACATCCTGTAAAACTTTCCTAAAATGCTCAAGGATGTTTCAAGTCGTAATATATAATGAATTGTATTAGAGGTTACTGAAATATGACTTAATAAATAACTATAAGATTAATGTTTGTTTAGTTCAACGACAACTACGATCACCACGACAACATTGACGAGTTTTATAGTTTATTATATAGTGTGGTCGTGGGTAGACAATGTTTTTTTGTTTCATTTTTTTTGGGGGGGGGGGTTGAGGATTCTAGACAAGGTTTAAGAACGCCGTGTATGTTTTAGTTATGATGTATTGGGTAAACCAGACTTAAAACACACACACACACACACACATGTACGCAACACCCAAATTATAAACTCAAAGGCGATAAAATCATCAAGGCGAACAAGAGTCGTCCATGTTCATCCTCAAGGCCCGGCGAGTCCTGAACCAACCCCCCCCCCCTATCACCCCCTTCCTCACACCCCCCTCCACCCCCGTCGTCACCGCTGCCACTGGGTTCCTCAGGGCCCGTCTTATTACTAACCAACACCACAACCAACAACAACAACGACAATAATGATAACACCAACAACAACAATAACAATAATAACAATAATAACAATAATAATAATAATAATCGGTATAAATATAACATTGATCAATTTAGAAGTGAAAATAGAATCTAACGCAAATCAGTTGATCACCCGATATTATTTTGTATTGATCAATTCATTCATACCTTTATCAATTGATCAGTTTATTTTACCTACTGTATTTATTAAACTTTTTATTTCTTCCCTCAAGGTGATGTTATTTTTTTTTAGTTTCTGTTTAATTTTTAATTTTCAAGTAAATAAAATAATAATACTTGTTAAAAAATCATTAGTCTCGTCAATTTTTTTCCTTCAAATTTAAAAACACTTAATTTAAATTATTTCCCGATAAATTCCTTCAGGTTATGTTTAATAAAGATCTAAGGATACAGTGTTGATAGTAACTTATTATTTATTCTTTATCTACACTCACTTTATCATCATTAGTTTTTTCTATTTATTATCATGATTTTCCTCTATTCCCCTCATCATCATCATCATCATCATCATCATCATCATCATCATCATCATCATCATCATCATCATCATCGCTATTTACGTTTTTATTTTATTTTTTTTCTTATTCAGTTCTGCATGTCTAATCTTTTCATTTCTTTCCTTTGTGTTGAGTTTTAGTTGATATTGTGGCCAGTTATTACACTTCTTGATACCATCTTTATAATGGAGTAAGTCTGGGGGGATCGGGGTGGGGCGGAGGGGTGGGCGGGGCAGCAGGAGGGGTAGAATCTTTTTAATTTTTATTCGAAAAAATTTTCCCCTGTTTTAGGCTGGTGGAGTTTATACCATGATGCCAATGGGGTAATTTTATTGAAACGATGTCGTGTTATTAAGTAATTATGAAGAGTTAAAATTGGCTGGCTGACCTGTTGGTGGTTTTAGGAAGATTTACCAAGGAAGATGTCTAGGTTATGCCTCTCTAGGAAGACCCACCCTAGGAAGATGACCCACCGGAAGAACCCTCCCCCTCTCCTCATGACCCACCAGGAAGATGACCCACCAGGAAGAACCCTCCCCCTCTCCTCATGACCCAAGAACCCTCCTCATGACCCACCAGGAAGAACCCCTCATGACCCCAGAAACACCCCCCCAGGTCAAAGATCAAGGTCTGGATCAATAAAAATCAAAATCGACTTGAAAATAAACGAAACAAAATTTATCCCAAAAAGCAATAAATTAATATATCTTGCGAAATCATGTTCAGGTTTATTCCAATTGTTTCACTGTTCATCGTTCAATATTCATAATTCACTGTTCATCGTTTTCAGTGCATATTGTTCACTGTTGATTGTTCTATATACAGCGTTAACTCAAAACTGTAAAATTAAAAGGAAACTGTATTAAACTTTCTATGTCAGCAGGAGAAAGAGAGAGAGAGAGAGAGAGAGAGAGAGAGAGAGAGAGAGAGAGAGAGAGAGAGAGAGAGAGAGAGAGAATTTGGTCCAGCTGCAATAGCTGACGAGTGCACAAGTTATATACAATGTTGATAACGTGACAGATAAGTGCACACCTTCTTGACCTTTGTGCACGTGACCACCATAAAGGTAATTGGAGAAACGAGAGATGTCTTGACGAGAATATATATTAGAGAATACAAATAAATAAGAGAATTACCTTTATATTACAGGTGTTGGTCTCATTTATATATTTCTAATGGGGAAAAATAATTAAGGTGTGTTTGGTGTAAATTAAACGTAAATTAGTTGAGATATTTGGAGGTTGTCTGGTTGTATTATTATTATTATTATTATTATTATTATTATTATTATTATTATTATTATTATTATTATTATTATTATTATTATTATTATTATTATTATTATTGTTTTTATTATTATTATTATTATTATTATTATTATTGTTAATATCTTTATTAATATTGTCATCAACATATTGAGTCATATATCAACAGAGCTGCGCCATTTATTACTCTATATACCTCATTCATAAACAAACTCCTGTTATATATAAGAACAATTATTACTAAGGTGTGTGTGTGTGTGTGTGTGTGTGTGTGTGTGTGTGTGTGTGTGTGTGTGTGTGTCCCAGGGTCAAAGTTGAAGGTCACAGTGTAAGGTCAGAGGTCAAATATAGCAAGGGACTGTATTATGTAGCGGCCTTGGGGTTGTTGATATCATGTGACGTGAGGACCCAGCCAGCAGGAGGTACTAGTGGGGGCTCCTGAAGGTGTAGAGACGTGGTAGGTAAATTGTAAATAAAACATGTAGCTTATTATAACCTGTTACATTAAATATAGAAATGAAAAAAATGAAAAATGGAAAATTCAAAATAACACACAGAGATAAATACAGGAATGTTATATAATATTTGACTGAAATTTGTTAATGAAAAAAAAAATAAATGAGCAAGTGGGAGAAAGAACATCACATACACACACACACACACACACACACACACACACACACACACACACACACACACACAAAAGAAACGCCTCACTAGCTTCGCCGCCCCATCTACTCACCTCTCCTCCCCTTCGCCATTCCTTCAGTCTCGCCACACCTTCCTTCTCGCCATCCCCTCCACCTAAGCCGGCCCTCTCCATCGCCACACCCTCACCTTCGTCCTGCTTTCCTTGCAGCCCCTATTACTCGCCAATCCTCCTCGCCGCTCATCTTCGCCACCCCTTCCCCTCTCCGTCCTCTCGCCCCGCCCAGCGCTAAGTGGGTGACGAGAGGAGAAACTCAGCATACAGCCGTGAGAAAAAAGGCGGTGGTGGTGGTGGTCAGTAATGAGGCGAGGAGAGGCTGAGTGAGGCAGAAGAAGGCAGGCTCGAGGGCGAGAACAGGCTGTGATGGCTGAGGATGTAATAGGCGGGACATGAACCACCCTAATGCTACTACAGCTTCCTTCTCCTCCTCATCAATGCGGTGTGTTGATGACCGCTATCACCAAGATCACGCCGCTGCCACCACCACCACCCCGCCCCCGCCCCCCGCCCGTCCCCGTCCCCTTCCCCGTCACCTGGAGGATAGGGAAGGAAGGAGATGGAAGTGAAAGTCATGGGAGATGGGAAAGGGAGAGAAGAATGCAAGGAGGTGAAGGAGAGAAAAAAAAGTTCAGGAGAAGAACATGGAAGAGGAGAGGGGAAAATTGTTTGTGTGGAAGGGGAGAAGGAAGAGGAAGAGGAATAGGAGGGGGTAGGAGGAACAAGGGGAAGGGGGTAGGAGGAACAGGAGGAGGTAGGGGGAACAGGAGGAGGTAGGAGAAACAAGGGGGTGGGGGGGTAGGAGGAAATCTTGATAGAAGTGAGATAAATTATACGTAATTTAAGACCATAAATTTTTGAACAACATAAGCAGCATGTTTTACCCCTACCTGGTGATGAGACAGTATACCTCACTATGGTAGAGTCTCTGGCAATTTCTACGCCATGTCGGTTGTCGTCTCTGTGTCATAACCTAATTGAGTCCCTTTAATATTTTCAACGTATCTTCAGTTTTGATGAGAAATAATTATACGGACTTTTGTGATCTCGAGCTGTAGTGGTGATGGTGGTAGTGGTGGTAGGAGGTAGTAATGGTGGTGATGGGAGTGGTAATGATGGTTGTAGTGATGGTGATAATGGTGGTAATGGTCTTAGGTGCTAGTATTGGTGGTAATGATAATTCATTGTCAATTTACACTCTTATATTTGACCTAACCTAACCTGACCTAACGTAACCTAACCTAACCTAACCTAACCTTACTCAGGGATCTATGTTCAGCAGTAAGGTCCATAGACTTGACAGCTTCGTGTGGATTCCATTCCCAAGATTTTTTTTTTTTTTTTAGTGTTCTTCTTAGTCTGCCCAGTGCTTGTCCGATCGTCTCTCTCGTTGGTCATAACTAAATAGTGTAAAAAAAAAATGGCGTTTGTTTCCTATTAAATATTTCCATACTAAGATAAAATAAAAAT